AAGCATGCCCCGCAGAAAAATAGGGTCTAGAGCTCTGGTCGTGATTGTCCGCGATGCTGCAACTGCTTCGTAACGTCGGATCTCAAAAACCGATGCCTGCCGCCGCTCGTCCTGGAGAGCTCTCGTCGCCGCGGCTGGATTCTGCTCGAGATTCTGGTCAGAACGCATACCTGGAGGGGTCCCAGGAATGAATAGCCGTATCGGCATTCTTTTCGTTTCCCCGTTGTCCTCGTCGCCGTTGCCGACGGCAACGGGCGATGGTGCCTTGTTTCGCGCCCCAGGACCATCCTAGATCAGATCCGGCTCGCAGAGTGCAGCAGAACGATTGGGTTTGGGGTCATGGTCGCGATTTTTCGCGATGCTGCAAGTTTCGCCATATCGGACCTCGGGGGCCGACAGCTCTGCTCGTCTGCATGGGAGAGCTCTCTCGTCGCTGCGGCTAGACTCTCCTCGAGATTCTGGTCAGAGCGCACCGATGGAGAGGTCGGGGGAGTAGCGGTTTCAGCACCTTCTTGTTTTCCCAGTTGTCGTCGTCGCCGCCGTCGCCGTCGCCGTCATCATCGGCGTCGTCGTCTCTTGAGATCCTGGCGTCGCATTCAATTCACAACGGGCAGATGTTTGTGCCTTGTTTCGGGCCCTAGGGCCATCACAGATCGATCTGGCTCGACAAATGCCGCAGAGAGATCTGGTCTAGGGCTCTGGTCGCGATTTTCCGCAATATAGCGATATATTCACAACATGAGTCTCAGGAACCGATATTGCCGCTTGTCCTTGAGAGCTCTCGTCGCCACTGCTGGATTCTCCTTGAGATTCTTTTCAGAACGCACCCCTGGAGAGGTCTGGGGAGTAGCGGTTTCAGAACTTGTTCGTTTCCCCAGTTGTAGTCGTCGTCGCCGTCGCCATCGTCATCGGCGTCGTCGTTCCTTGAGATCCTGGCGCCGCATTTTGCTCACAACGGGCGATTGTTCCTTGCTTCGGGCCTCAGGGCACTCTCAGATCACTCTGACTCGAACATGATCGACCCACGAACCCGGAAAGGGATAGGACATGTGAAGCATGACAACGTTCTCAAGGCACCTGATTGGACGACGGGCAATGCAATGTTGAGTGTATCGATCTTGACGTACCTGCCAAGAGTTGTGCTGTGCTGCGCCGTGATGAATTGCGATGTGCCATGCCGCGATTGTTCTCTATAGCATTGTGGATCGAGTCCTCCTTTGCTTCCGAGTCCTTACCGAACTGATCTGGATCTGAAGCTCGAGCTGCCTGAGCACGTAGTAGCTGCCCCAGAGCTAATTGACAGAGGGACGTGCCAGGGGGACGCGCCGCGGAACGTCCCGAGGGACACGCCAGGGGTTGTGCCAGGGGACGTGCCATGGGGACGCACCGTGGGACGTGCCAAAGGGACGCGCTATGGAACGCGCCAATGGACGTGCCACGGGGCGCCAGGGGGACTCGCCATGGGACGCGCACGGAACGTGCCAGGGAACGTGCCAGGCTGCAAGGCTGAGTGTATCGATCCTGATGTACCGTGCCAAGGCTTGTGCTGTGTTGTGCCGTGCTGAATTGCGATGTGTTATGCCGCGAGTGTGCTCTATAGCGTAGTGGATCGAATCCTCCTTAGCACTTCGCATTCGAGTCCTGACCGAACTGATTTGGATCTGAAGCTCGAGCTGCCTTAGCACACAGTAGCTGCCCCAGAACTAATTGACAGAGGGACGTGCCAGGGGGACGCGCCGCAGAATGTCCCAAGGGACGCGCCGCGGACATGCCAGCGGACGTGCCATGGGGACGCACCGCGGGACGTGCCAAGAGGACGCCCTACAGAACGTGCCAATTTACGTGCCAAGGGGCGCGCCGCGCGACGTGCCAGGGGGATTCGCCATGGGCCGCGCCACGGAACGTTCCAGGGAACGTGCCAGGCTGCAAGGCTGAGTGTATCGATCTTGATGTACAGTGCCAAGGGCTGTGCTGTGTTGCGCCGTGCTGAATTGCGATGTGCCATACCGCGATTGTGCTCTACAGCGTTGTGGATCGAGTCTTCCTTTGCATCCGAGTCCTGACCGAACTGATCTGGCTCTTAAGCTCGAGCTGCCTGAGCACGTAGTAGCTGCCCCAGAGCTAATTGACAGGGGGACATACCAGGCGAACGCGCCGCGGAGCGTCCCGAGGGACGCGCCAGGGGACGTGCCAGGGGACGTGCCATGGGGACGCACCGCGGGACGTGCCAAAGAGGCGCAATGCGGAACGTGCCAATGGACGTGCCACGGGACGCGCCAGAGGACGCGCCGCGCGACGTGCCAGGGGGGTTCGCCATGGGACGCGCCAGGGAACGCGCCAGGCGACGCGCCAGGGAGCGTGCCAGGGAACGCGTCGGGGAACGTGCCGCGGGACGTCCCTGACCCAGTGCCAGGATCCCTCGTACATTACAATGCGTCCTCGCTCCCAGGGCAACGATCCATCGTACATTACGCTGCGTCCGCGCTCCCCGGGCCACGATCCCACGTAAACTACGCTGCGTCCGCGCTCCCAGGTCCGCGCTCCCTCGTGAAGTGCCTCGTGTCCACGCTCCCAGGGCCACGTTCCCCAGTAGCTTACGCTGCGTCAGCCCCCCCCCGAAGGGCCACACGAGCCATGGGAAGTCACGCTGCGTCCGCGCCCCCCTGGGCCCCCGCTTAAAAACTGCGCCGCGTCCGCGCTCCCGGGGCGGCGCCTCCCTCGTGTCGTGCGGAGTCCGCGCTCCCAGGGTGGCGTTCCCTGGCAAGGTATACACCTTAGGCGATGCTTAAGAAAACTTACATTTTCGGCCAGAGTCTCGATTATTCTTAATGTTTCAGTGTAAATCCTAAGATCTGAATGGGAACTTTCGGTTTTTATTCAAGTTCTGAGACTATGAATTTCTTAACCCATGATTTCTTAAGCATTTCGCAGGGTGTACTGCGCCAGCTCCCCAAGGGCCATCTTCCCCAGTAAATTACGCTGCTTCCGCCCTCCCTGGGCCAGGAGGAGGAGGAGGAGGAGGAGGAGGAGGAGGAGGAGGAGGAGGAGGAGGAATGAGGGAGGCGCAGGAGGAGGAGGAGGAGGAGGAGGAGGAGGAGGAGGAGGAGGAGGACGATCCATAGTAGACGACGCTGCGTCCGCGCTCCCGGGGCCGCGCTCCCCCGCGAATTGCGCTGCCTCTGCGCTCCCAGGGCCCTCTGGGGCCACCGTGGACGCCCAGGCTTTCGGCAGTCTCCCAAGCAAGCGTTTCGCTCGAGACATCCTCAACGAATTGTGCAAAACGAGCGCTTCTCGCTCGAGACATCCGCGACAAACGAAATGCTCGCTTCACCTGGTGTCTTATCGATCGGAATTAAAAAATCAGCGTTTCGCTCGGGACATCCTCAAATTCAGATTCGCCGGCCCGCTTCGATTTCGTTATGTATCATAATAGTTTCGCCGGCCCTCTTCAAGTCGATTCCGGGTGGGAATGCATTTGCTAAAAAGAGCCCTGGGCTGAAGTCTTTTTGGGGAAAAAGAGAACCCTGGGCCCCCGCCCTTTTCATGAATTCTTCCACATGTTCACAACGGCCCGTCGAAGATTTTTGGGTCTCCATACCTTGTTATTCAGTGGGGATTCTGCGCAAAACGCTCCGCACCTTTTATTGCTCAGGGAAAGCAAGGGCCTGCGGACCCAGTCAGGCAACGAGGATCCGAAATGGGGGGCACATTTTTCTCGAACGGGCACGCACGAAACGCATCTTTGTTCACGCCAAATGAGATACCTTGTTTTTTATCGCAGAATAATTTCGCCGGCCCGTCTCAAGTCGCCCCCAGGGGTAAACCCTCTTTAAGAGAACCCCGGGCCAGAGCCTTGTCCGGGAAAAAAATCAGAAGAGAGATGGGATGTAGGACTTCTGTCGTGATTTCTGGCGATGTCGCAATTTTTCGCAGCGTCGCTGAGTCGCAGGGACCGATGCCGCCGCTCGTCCTGGAGACATCTCGTCGCCGCGGCTGGATTCTCCTCGTGATTCTGGTCAGAACGCACCCCGGGAGAGGTCCGGGGAGTAGCGGCATCGGTACCCTTTTTGTTGCGGTCGTCGCCGCGGTCGCCGCCGTTGCCGTCGTCGTCGTCCCAGATCTCTGGCGGTGTGACCGGTTTCAATCCCGGCCTGCTTCCTCGATTTCGGCCCCTGGGGGGTGTTTTCGGGCCCCCGGGCCATCAGACACGGATCCAGGACGAACATCCACACCTGGGGGGAGGGGGTCGGAAGTGTTGTGGCCGCGGATCGGAAGATCCTAACACATAAGATCGGCTGATGTTCGGGTCACCGTCGCCGCCGTGGTCGCCGCCGTCGTCGTGAGTCTTCGGGGGCTTACTGGATGAGGCCTTGCCTTGAGCTCGTCGGTTCCCCGGGGTGCTCTCTCTCTCTCTCTCTTATTTGTTTTGTTTGTTTCTATCTCTCTCTCTCTCTCTCTCCGTCAGCGAATTCGAAGGATGAGTTAGGAGGAGGAGGGGGAGTAGGAGGAGGAGTTAGGAGGAGACGAAGGAGGAGGAGGAGGAGGAGGAGGAGGAGGAGAATCAGGAGGAGGAGGAGGAGGAGGGAGGAGGAGAGGGAGAAGGTAGGAGGGCGGATGAGGAAGAGTTCGGAGTTAGGAGGAGGAGGTACGAGTTTGGAGGAGGGCGGGGGATGAGGAGTGGGGCGGCGGAGGAGGAGGCGGAAGAGGAGGAGGAGGAGGAGGAGGAGGAGGAGGAGGGCGGAGGAAGGGGGGGATGGAGGTTCGAGGAATTGGGCATCGGGGGGCCTCTTGTCGCCGTGTTTGCATTCTCTTTAAGGTTCTGGTAGCCGAGCTTTTCAGTCCCCCTCTCCTCCCCATCTCTCCCTCTCTCGTCCACCCCGTAGAGCAATGTGTGGCAGCAACTTGCCCCGATGCCAGCCGAGGAACAGCCATGGTCAATCTACATTTTCGGATAACCCCGGGGCCGTGCATCAAGTAGCCCAGTAGCGTGTTCCCACGAT